CAACCCCAAATTGGGTTACTTGGGAATGAACCTTATAAGAGACACAAAAGACCTGTACAAAGAAAACTATAGAACATTTCAGTAAGACACAATAAAAGACCTAAATAAATGTAAAGATGTCCCTTGTTCTTGGATAGGAAGACTCAATATTGTGAAAGTAACAATTATACCCAAACCAAAATACATTTTCAATGCAATCCTAATACAGATATCACATTTATTTTTTCTAGCTTAAAAGGGAAATTGTCAAGTTTATCTGAAGAAGAAAGACCTTGAATAAGCAAAGTGCTTCTTCAAAACAGAAATGAAGTGTGAGACATAGCACTCCCTGACTTCAAAACCTACTACAAAGTAATAATAATAATAAAAACAATATGGTGCTGGTACAATGGCAGGCACATGGAACAATGGAACAAATTGAGAACCCAGAAATGGACCCAGTAATCTATGGCCAACTACTATTCAGCAAGGAAATCAAACCTATCAAATGGAGAAATGACAACCTCTTTAACAAATGGTGCTGGCAAAACTGGACAATTACCTGCATAAAACTGAAACAAGATCTACATCTTACACCATACACAATAATCAAATCAAGGTGGATCAAAAACCTGGGAGTAAAGCCAAAAACCATAAAGTCCATCAGAGACAAACTGGGATCAAGCTTAGATGGCCTAGTCTATGGTATAAATGATATTACCAAATATAGCCAGAAAGGCTCAATTTGGAAATGATAAAATTGATGAATGAGACCTTCTAAAGATTAAAATCCTGTGCACATAAAAAACTTTTCCCAACAGAATGAAAAGAAAACCTATTGACTGGGAACAAACCTTTGGCAGTACCATCTCATACCAGAGTTTCACAGCGAGTGTACAGACTATTACTAGGTCCCCAGAAGAAAAAGACTGATGACCCAACTACAAAATGGGCAAAAGACATGGAAAAATTTTTCAAAGAGGAAGACATTCTGATGGGCAACAGACACACGAAGAAATGCTCAAAATCACTCGCAATAAGAGAGATGCAAATAAAAACTGCAGTGAGATACCATCTCATCCCAGTAGAGGTGAGAAAGTTTAGTAGGGCAGCAAACAATAGATAGAATGTGGAGCCGTGGGAACTCTCATGCAGTCGTATTGGGATTGTAAAATGGTACAACCACTCTGGAAGGCAGTTTGGTGTTTTCTCTCAAAAAGTTGAACTTAGAAACTCCGTTTGACCCAGCTATTTCACTACTAGGAATATACCTCAAGGAAATTAGGACTGAGACACAAACAACAATTTGTACATCAGTGTTCATAGCAGCATTTTTCATCATTGCAAGAATGTGAAAACAGCTCAGATGTCCAGCAACAACTGAATGGATTGAGAAATTGTCGATTCACATGATGGAATTCTATGCAGCTCTCAGAAGCAATGATTTGGAAAAATACTACGTTAACTTGGGAGACACAAGAGCATAATGTTAAGTGAACTAACTCAGTCTGATAAGGACAAATACTGAATAAGACCAATATTGTAAAAATAGGATAACTAGTAAAACTTGTACAGGAGCCCAAGGGGGAAGGGGTAGGAGCAAAGGGATGAGGATGGGTAGGGGAAAAATTACAGGGTTTCACAATTTGGTGGGTGGAGGGAGAGGTTAAAGGAAATGGGAAAGATCTAGCAGGGACCTCAAAAGATGCGTATGATGGGCATAGTCCAATAGTCATTTATTTTATACAACATAATTCATTTCAATGATTGCATGAAACACAGTGTGAATGAAGAATAATATGAAATACAAGTTATATAAACTTTGTAAGCAAACCAATATAAAATAAAAATAAAAACACAGATAAAGAATCACAAATAGCAAAAATTTCATGACAGGTGTGAATCAGACTCTCTTCCTGTGGAATTTGCTAATTTTAGTTTTATCACCATTGATTCTTAATACTAAGTAAATCATTGCCAGTTTATTTTACATTTTTAATAATAACATAATGAAAAAAAATATTAGATACTTTTAGACCAGAAGCACAAAAGTAAAGAAATCATGTTATCTCATGTGACATGAACATTAATACAGTTTAAATAAATAAATAAGAATAGAGGAAAAATAACTCTCAATTTAGAATGCCTTTTGTCTTTTAAATAATTATTGTAGTTAGGCACCACTGAGTTGGAATTGACCCATTGCTGACCCTCCAGTGGATTGTCAGAAGCTGTAAATCACATAGGAGATGATTATCCAGCTTTCTCCAGGGCAGCAGCGGGCGAATTTGAACCCTGTGTGTTAGAGTTGACAGTGCAGCTCCTTTCTTGGTAAGTGGAATATTCTCCTTAATTTATATTCTTAGTTTAACCTATAGCATAAACTTTTTATTGAAATTGCCTTTTTGTAAACTTTAATGGAGTACATTTTCAGCCGTCTAGTTAATTTTGGAATTTCAAAGGAAAAAAAGTAACTTCTTACAAGAGTAATTTTTACACTAAAATATGATCTCTGCAAGTTAAGAATTCTACCCTTTTTATTGTTTTAATCTCTACTACATAAAAAAGAGCATAAAAGTTTAACAGTACAGCAAATAATAAATGTTGAAGATAGCAACTCTTATACATTGTTGGTGGGATTATAAAATGGTACAACCACTCTGAAAGGCAGTCTGGTACTTCTTAAAAAGGCAGAACATAGACATTCCATATAACCCAGCTATTCTACTACTTGGAATATACCCCAAGAAAATGAGAACTGAGGCACAAATGGAGACTTGTACACCAATGTTGATAGCAGCATTATTCACCATCACAAGAACATGGAAACAGCCCAAATGTCCAACCATGATGGAATGGATAGAGAAATTGTTACATACACAAGATGGAATACTATGCCGCACTCAAGAACAATGCTTTTGTAAATTACTACCTAACTTGGGAGGGACTGGAGAACATTATGCTGAGTGGACTAACTCAGTCCCACAAGGACAAATACTGTATAAAACCATTATTGTAGAATGAGTATGAGGTGAGGATCCAAGGAGGGAGGAGGGTGGAGGATGGAAGCAGATGGATGAGGATGTGTGTGTGTGAGGAAGGTCACACAATATGATGGGGTTGGATTGATGCAAATGGTAAAGATCTGGTGTGAAAAACAATGTATTTGAACTTTGTAAATAAACCAGTATTTTTTTAAAGCCTAGAAATTGGTAGCTATTCAAGAAAAAAACTATTGAATGAGAGCTATACATTCTCTCATATAGTAGTATTAATACATAGTGTGAACCTTTATGTGTTTTTTTCTTTCCTCTTTTTCTCAAATAATACAATAGCATTGTTAATAAAGTAGGAAGTCAATAGATTTGGTTAGTATATGCTTATTTCAGAGATAATTCAGAGACATCACATTTGGTTTTGATAGCTTGGTTGAATGTTTTGAGTTAACTTTCCACCATCCTTGCTAGTTAACCAATACCTTGAGTCTGAACTATAAAGTTGACTTTTGAGCCAGAATTTACCCACCTATAAAAGGGAAAACCTATTTTAGGTAGAAGAAACTGGGCTGGGCCACTGTATCTGAACAAAAGCTTCTGCACAAGTTCAATTATGAGCTAATCTCAACAGAGAATATGTCTAATGTGTAGGAATAAAAAGTTACTAATGTAGATTAGTATTTCTCAAAATTGGTTTTAAGAATATTAGCATCATAATCATTTCAGTCTTTGAACTGAGGTGTCTTATCACCTTATAGAATATATTCATTTTATTTCATTACTTACTAATTAAGTCATTTATGTGAGGTAGAAACACTAATTTTACAACACAATTTATCGAACAAATGAAATCTTTTTTTTTTTTTTTGTTTGGATTTCCAATCACTCATTGTTGCATTTTTCTCCCATCCCAACCCTCCCCCCCAGTACACTACCCTCTTGGAAAAGTAAAAGAAAAATTCTTTCATTATTTTACAGTCCCTCCCCCCAGGTTGACTCTACTATCCAACATTCAGTCTGGACTCCTGTCATGACAAAAATACCTAATCAGATATCCCTTTTAAACAGTTGTCTCCCTCATTTGTTTCAATGCAATATACATTATTGAGCCCATCTTTCTGAGTCTCCCCCCAACCCCAATGTCAGTCCTGTTTAAAACATTGGCACCATGCAGTATTTGTCCTTTTGTGACTGAGATACTTCACTCAGCATAATGTCCTCCAGGGTCACCCATTTCTAAAAGACTAAATCTTATAGTTCATAGGACCCAGGGAGTTTTATACCACAGCAAGTTGCATTCATGAAGCAGATTACAATTGAAAGGAGGCTGTCTGGTCTTGTGAAAGCTCATCCTTGTTGTTATGCACATGGAAGTATCCTATACTTACTTTCCACTGGAACCTTGTTTTAATGAAAATGTTACAGGGTCAAGGTTGTAATTTTCTGAGTGCCTAAAGATATATTAAATTAAGAAGTTTGTTTTAATGTGAAATTTGAGAAGTTCTTATTTAATGTAAGATAGCAACTGGATGAATTTTGTCATACAGATCTCTTCCTTCCTCCCTCCCTTCTTTCATTCCTTTTCTCCCCTTTTCTTTTTTTCCTTTCCTTCACTTCAGTCTTCTTTTTTTTTTCTCCTCATTTTATGGAAACCTTTTTCTTCCCTTCCTACCTCTTCCTTTTCTTCCATTCTTCTCTCCATCCCTTTCACAAAGTCTGGACATTAAACAGATATTTTAATACTTTTGTTTACATAAAATTAAAGTACTTTGATTATACTACTTCTGTTAAATTAATAAGATTTAGTAACCACTGTCACGTAATATCTCAAGTTAGAGATTTAAAAATGACTACATTTTCAACTACATAATATGTATATTTTTTATGTGAATTTACTGATGTTATTGTAATTTAGAAATTGCCAGTATTATTTATTTGTTTTAGAATTTTCTTGGGAGAGCTCTTCTGTTGCTTTCACATTCATTACAGCTCTGTTAAGTCTAATGAGTTTTATTTGTCCTTCAGGTGACCTACAAGCGAGATCTGTATGCAGCTGAATCAATTATTAAGGGTATGTTTGTCCTTGCAACTATCTGTTTCTGTGTTTTAGAAATGTAAGCCAGGTCACAAATTCTTTTGACATTTTAAATTGCAGCAGAGGCAGGAGCATAAATGCCTGTAGGCCACCAAGCTCCCAGATTTGTTCTTTTTGAAAGCAATGACATTGTATTTTGTGTTTCCTGCCCATGAAATATAATTTCTTTAATGATTTATACCACATTATTTTTAATTTGTAGAAATACTGTGTCACATATTTTATTCTATGTGGAATATAAGAAATTAACCCTATTAAAAGGGAAGCATAATGAAAACTGATATTTTCATAAACTTATTAAGATGTTATTTGATCTTTCCTATTGAGCAGACTCCTCTATCCCATGCCTTAACACTGTCATATTAGCATCTTCTAAACATATTTTACATAAAAGAAAAAAATATATTGGATAGATTTTTTGTTCTAATAATGACTACTGTTTTGTTTATAATTTTAGATGGTTAAGCATGTTCAATAACATATTGTTCTCTTTCATCTCTGTCTCTAAGATTCTCCTTACTCAGAGATAGTTTAATAACCACTAAGATCAAATCCACCAGGGGCTCCAAGGGAGAAAGATGGGCAGTCTCCTTCCACACAACTTACAGCTTCAGAGAACCCACCGGAGGGTCAGTTATGAGTGGATTCTGAGTACATGGGAATGAGTTTTGACTCTGAAAGAATATATTTTTGTGTTTAATATTGTTCTAGGGATGTAGTTATAGTAAACAAGGGACAGTCCTTCTGGATTTTTGCATCCTCCATTTAAATCAGTTTCTCAAATTCAAATTTATACATTTTAGGCCAGACGAGTCTTGTTTTTGAGATCTGATTGTCCATGATGAGATGGTTGGCCTCCATCAGTTCTACTCATTAAATGATAGAAGCTTACCTTTCCCCTTTCAATAGTGACAACAACAGAAAAACTCTCCCGACATGGCTAAATATCCCTTAAAGGATACAGTTGTTTTAGATGAAAATCACAGTTTCAAATGTTTGTAGCAAAGATCAAATGTCCTCACACTCATGCCCTCATGCCTGAAACAAGTATGGTGCTTCAAAGCTTGTTACTAATTGACTCCATTGAAAAAATAGATTAAGGGGAGATCTGTGTATAAAAATCTAAATCTACTTAGGTTTTTATTGAAAAGTAAACTTTTAAATTCAAAGTCTGAAGTTGAGAAAGTTCTGAATCTGAACTTTATGACTGTGGGAACTCCTTTCTAAATTTTGTGAAAAACTAGTTGACTTCACATTCAGAAAACTGACATGTTCAGTCAGAATACTCTATATTTACAATTTATGCCCAAATTCTTTGACCTTCAAACATATTGTGTTTCAAACTGCTAATGTACTGTGTTGTGCATTTGTGTCTCTGTGCATGTAAACACATCAACTCTAACTATAAATCAAAATGCTGGCATATATTTACATATTAGCCAGGGGATATGTAAGCATTACTCGGGAGAGGTTAGCTAAACAACGATGTGGTTGGTTAAATTCTCAGCACAAGGAAATGTAAAACACAGTTTCATTTCCTTACAAAGTCATACATTGCTTAGATAAATGGAAATGTCCATTTTTAAAAATTATTGATAAGTAGTTTACTGAGGATCCTATAGATTTTGATATTTTGCTTACATATTATCATAATGACTTATATACAAGCCTAAGTGTAACTGCAGGGCTATAATTTTGGAAATTGCATAGAAAAACTCATTTAGATAATGGACTCTGGTGTGCATTTTTTTTTCTCTGGGAAAGTAACCTGTTTGGCTGGTAGTTAATAGCTGATTTAAATCAGCAATCTCCAAGTACATTCTTAACCTCTAGGATTTACATTTCTACAAAGTTTCCAGAGAATGAAAATATTATTTGACACTGCTGAGCAGATAATACACTTTGAGGTCTCCTGCTCTAGACCAGCTACCCTGTGGGTCCCTGAGAGCTTGAATAGAGGAAATCTGGTGACATAGTCTGGAGTGAGTTATACTAAAAACGGAAAGACTGTGTCTCTGGCAGTTTGAGATGACTGGTGGCTCTTCAGAAGAAGGATGGACAGTTATTTTCTATAAGATTTACAGCCTCAGAAACTCAATGGAAGGCCACTATGAATCAGAAGAGCCCTGACACAGCAGTGAGCTGGTAGTGGTTTTTGGGGTGTGTTTTTCCCCCTCCCCCTTTTAATTTGAGAACCTGTTTGGAGGCTCAAAGGCTCCCTAACTGTATTGTTGTTGTTAAGTGTCATCAAGTCCACAATGACTCATAGTGACGCTGTACATAGTGGATCTGAACCCTGCCCGCTCATGTGCTATCCTCATCATCTCTGATATACTTGAACTCATTGTTACAGTCCCCACATCAATCCAGCTTGTTGGGGATCTTCCTCTCTTTCACTGACCCTCCACCTTTCTGTGCATGATGTCCTTTCTCAAGGACAGGCCCTCCTAAGAACATTAAATTAGAACCTTAAGTTTTGTTGCAACTCTGACCAATTTGTACACTGAATTTAAAAAAAGTAATCCTTCCCTTCATCATAGGCCTTTATAGGTCATATTTTTTGGTCTAAATAATAATTTCATTGGATTGAAAATTTGAAGTCTCACCTTTGAATGGTTGGTTGCTCATTTATAATTACCATCTCTGACCCTCACGTTATAAATACTGTGGGCCTAACAAGAAGAAAACTTTGAGGCTTATCATAAACTCCTAAATCTATTATGATGTGTTGTTGATGGTGGTGAGTGCTGTTGAGTTGGAACCAACTCATAGCTGACCCTCCAGCGGGTTTTTAGAGGCAGTAAATTGCATGAGAGCAGTTTGCCCATCCTTCCATGGAGAAGCTGGTGATTCGAACTGTGTGCTTTTGGGATTGTGACACAGCTGCTTACAACTAGGCCAACTGGAGTTACTAAGCAACCAGATATTTGTGTTTTGTATCTCACCTACTTGCCATTTCCTATCCAAGTTCAGAGTACTTTACTAGGCACTGCTTGTTGGTAACTGCTATCTAGCTGGCTTGGTGACCTTATGTACAATAGAACAAAGTGCTGCCATGTCCAGTATGATCTCCATGATCACTGGGATCTCTGAGTTCATTGTTGTGGCTGTTGTGTTGCTTCATCTCTTTGAAGGTTTCCCTTATTTTTATTGACTTTCTCCTTACCAACAATGGTGTCCTTTCCTATTGATTATTACATCCTTGCAGCATGACCAAACTAAGTGAGTTCAATTTTTATCATCCTCACATCTGTGCCCCAATGTGGCCAGTGCCAGATAATCTATGAGAGAAATCATTGTTGTTGCTGAGTCCCATGGAGCTGTAACTAAACCCCATCTGTCGAAGCAGAAATACTCCATAGGCTTTCCTAAACTGTAATCTTCACAGAAGCAGATTGACATAATGTTATGATCTACTGAGTGGGGTCAAACCATCAACCTTTTGGTTAGCAACAGAACACTTAACTGTTCTACTTCCTACTAGGACTCCTTCTGAAGTGGATTCTTGATTCCATATCTCTTTTGGTCGGTACACTAAATAGTATCTTAATTCAGTCCATCAATCACTGATTAGTTGGAATGGGAAATGGTACCTTCAGCTGACCTGATAAAACATTAAATAAAAGATCTTGTCTTCCATTTTTTCTTAGAGAATCTTTCTAGAGAGTATGGGTCTCTGTCCCCCATCATGTCTATCCTAAAAATATCATGCTAAAAATAACAATTTACCCAATATGTCTAAAAAATAGCAAATAATTAAAAATTAAAACCCAAATACAAGTTTTAAAATGATCAGTTGGATATAATTTAATTTCTCATCTATGTATTTATTTTTGATAGTTCTACTTGTTGAACGTTTTTATTTCATCATGACAACCTTGCCTCTTCTAGAATAGAATTGTTTTACATGTTCTGACATGTAAGAGTGTTTAGAGTGCTGGCTATAAGAGTGCAAGAGTGTAAGCTGTCCCTCCTGAGATTCTTTTTCACATGAATATCAGTTGTTGCTGGGCAACAAAGTGTGTTTGAATGTAATTATTTTCTTAATGCTTCTCAGGGTAAACATACTTTTTATAAAAAAAAAAAAAACCAACACAACAAAAACCCAACTTCAAAAAACCAAAACCATTTTATTGTGGTTTTGATGAAAGTTTACTGAGAAAATCAGTTTCTGATTCAACAATTAATACACATTTTTCTCCATGAAATTATTTGCCTTTCCTTCAGTATAACAGCACTCTTCTTTCACAATTGTGTTTACTTCATCTCCATTCACTTATCTTTCCTGACCCTTCTTGTCTTCTGAGTTTTGAACCTGGACAGATGTTTCTAAGGAGCTGAACAGAAAATTAAAAGGGCAGCTTGGGAATACAAAACAAAATATTATGTCAAAATATGCAAAGAGCTGGAGTTAAAAAATCAAAAGGGACAAGCTCTCTTGGCATTTCTTCACCTGAAGAAACTGAAGAACAACTTCAAGCCTTGATTTCCAGTACTTAAAGATGCTATGGGCAGAACATTGAATGATCTGGGAAGCATCAAAAGAAGATGAAAGGAGTTCACAGAGTCACTGCACCAAAAATATTGGCTGACACAGAAGCATTTCATGAAATAGCATATGATCAAGAAGCAATGGTGACGAGGGTGGAAATTCAAGCTGCTCTGAAGGAATTGGTAAAAAAATAAGGCTCCAGAAATTGATGGACTGTCAACTGACATATTTCAACAGACAGATGAAGCCATGGATATGCTCACCAGGTTGTGCCAAAAAATCTGGAGGACAGCTACTTGGTCAACTGACTTGAAGAGATTTATACTTATTCCCATTCCCAAAAAGGTGATCCAACAGAGTGTAGAAATTATCAATCAATATCAGTAATACCACATACAAGTAAAATCTTGCTGAAGATTATAAGACCATGACTGGAACAGTACATTGACAGAGACTTTTCAGAAGTGCAAACTGGATTTAGAAG